CACACACACACACACACACGACACACACACACACACACCACACACACACACCCACACACACACACACCCACACACACACACACACACACACACACACACACACACACACACACACACACACACACACACACACACACACAGGTTACTGTGATCTAGACGTTTTTGTCGATACTTTTCTAACAATGCCATGAAGTGAGTGGGCTGAATATAAATAAATAATACAACAATGAGTGAGAAAGAGACCGGATTTGTCCTCAAGTAGGGGGACAATCTAAAGGCAGAGTGTCGAGCTTTTATAGGTGTGAAATATGGTGCATTGTGGTAAGGTCTCCGTTTTGGGCTTCCTCTCTCTCTTTTTCTGGAGAGCTATGTCAACTTTTTTTGGGCTTGTTTCAACACTGCAGCTATCTAAAACCTGACCCTCAAATAGCACAGTGACATTGCTGCTAAATCATTTCCTTAGAGGACATCAGTGTTGAGTATCTGCTGCTCAAACTTTAGAAGCAGAGCACACACTCCAACTTTTAATTTTGTTCAAATTCATTCTTTTCTTTGCTAACAAACTCAAACAAACACTGAAGTCTTTAAATAAGACATTCAACCGGTTCTGTTTGTCATTTTTGTGAAGGTGCATTACAGATCTATCCTCAGGCTGACTTTGTGTGCTGACCAAATTAAACATCAATAATTCCCTTTAAATCAGTTTTCTGCTCTTTGATAACTAAAAGGTCGAGACTTCAAAGAAACAACACAATCTCCGGGTAGCCTGTTTGCTGTTGTTAATCGGTGTGTTTTATAAAAGCACTGCTTCTGTTTCTATGAGGAACACCTTCCTGCTCTTTGAGAGCGGCAGAAAGATCAAATGTTCCCATTAATGATTCAATGGAATATAGTGTCTAAAATAGAGACCGTCTTTTCAAAAGGTCCATGTAACCAACCCTCTCACTCATTCAACGTGACACTGTCAGGAACCGTAAAAAAAAGGGGACCCAAATCTAACCGGTCGGCCTTACAGGAAACCAAAACAATCTGTGACTAACATCCTAAACAGCCACACATGAAAGTGAGCGCGCGACCTGAGAGAGGAGCGGAAATGCAGGAAGAAATCCAGGGAATAAGGAATGAGCTGGAGGTGGTCGGCCCTGCAGCAGAGAGAACTTTACTGAAGGCCCAACGTCACACACACACACACACACACTGGTGCTGGTCCAACACCAATTTCCTCTCTACCTATGCTCAGCAGCAACGTCAATCTGGAGCCTATGAAGAGAAGCTGGTCAAAGTCGGATTGGTTTTTGAGGTCATCAAAGGGAATAGTTTCTTGTGTAGTGGAGATAAAAGCAGTCCCTCTTTCCCTCTGCTGAGCAAAGTGAACTCAAAGTAACCAACTTTCTGCAACAACTAACCGAAGTGAGGATTAGAGTCAGGAAGCAAAACTCTGTTACAAATAAGAACCAAATCCAAAATGTCAGGTAACGCGTAACCACAAAAAAAGAAGATAATTTCAGTTCTGCTTATCTGTTTCTAAACACGCACATTTGTGTGCTCTTGGGACTTGGTAGAGCTTCGCAAATAATTACATTTCTGGTACCGATCGACACGCATCTTAACTAAGTTGTGAATGAAGATGAAATGAACAGATAATTATTCAATCTGATAATATAATATCAATAACCCAATCAAACCTATCCATTTAGAGGTTCCACAAACATTATGAAGCAAATTGTGAGTATGAACATTAATCTATTTAAAGGTTTTTAATATTTGTTTTTTGTTTCCTGTGAAAAAAGCATGTTAACCCTCAAAAGAATGAAATCCAGAACTGTTACGAAATGGAATCGCAGAAACGAAATCAGAACCAGAATTGTTCAAATCCAAATGATACCCAACCCTAGTGGGGCATCAAAACATGGTAGTAAAATGAAGTATCTGCTCTTAGAGAATGAATTACAGTCAGAGCTGCAGTGGAGCTGCCTGGCCAGCAGAACTAATGTGAACTGTGAATCAGAGGCTCGTCCACAGCGTGTCAGTCTTAGTTACGCATGCACCGTCGACTGCGCACTAACACATTGCTGCTCCAACACTTCCCCAGCAGCCGCTCTTCAGGCCATGAGAACTGTGTGTGTGTCTGTTTGTGTGGGGGAGATTTTAAATATGTTGCTTGTCATTATTTAGCACAGTACAGATGTCTGAACTGCTGTGCTTGAATAATCTTTTGTCATCAGCAGCACATCGATGAATTAAAGTCATATCTGTGTTTTTATTTCTTATTATTCTGTACTCACTTTAATTTGATTATACAGTGAATAGCTTTCCAAATGTTCTGGAATGATTTTCAACAACCCCTAAAGCAGGGGTCCCTGACCTTTTTTGAGTATGACCCCCAAAACGAAATAATGGCCGTTTGTAAATGCCCTTTACTGGTTGCATTTCCCCCCTGTTTTAAGTTAAATTATTCAAACGCCCGAAGAGGTCAAATCCACCATTTATTAACAAGAGAAAAAGATTAATGCAAAGTCTGATCAAACTCAATTTGGTGACCTTTATGATTCATCTTGAGACCCAATTGGGACTTCTGACCCTCCACTTGTGAATCACTCACAAGTCATTTATTTGTATGAATGCTTATTTATTTTGTATTATGCAACTCTACTATTTATCCTACTGTCTTTAATCTGCACTGTATATTTGCTGCTGCAACAACAATGTCCCTGCTGCGGGACAAATAAGGGTGTTTTGATTCTGGAAATGTTAATTCCCATGCAGCATTTAATACACAGTAGGTGGTTAATGCTATTGTAATGGTAGGTGCAACCTCTGAATACTGTAGCAAACTGTTGACATTGTTTAAAACAGATTTAGATGTTCCTGTTATAAAAAGCCTTATGGCTGCATTGTAAGTATCACAGGAGGACTTTATGTTATCCCCAGGAATAAATAATAAACCAGAGAACAACACATGAGCCAGAAAGACAACAGTGTGACTACAGGGAAGCGGCGTGACACGTCTCTGCTGTTCAACCTCCAGCATGAAAGTGTGCATGCAAACACACACATGTGCAAAGGAGGGGGGGCTGTCATTTTCTATTCTCTCAGCCGCTTATATAGTCAATCGCGCAAGATACAATCATACTTCGTGACATGGGATCACATACAGGAAATGAAAAGGACAACAAAAGGAGCAGGGAAAAGAGAGGATTGCCCAGAGGGAACATTTCCAGACACAACTATGAGTGTGAAGGAAAAAGGAAATTCAGTTTGAGAATACAAACAGGAGAATGTATCCCTGCACTCTGTACATGGCAACATAATACATGATGAAAGGTTTGTTAGAATGCAGTGGGGAAATACTCGCAGCAAGCAATGAAAACAGCAGTAGTAAAAGTGGTTTGCAAAAGCAAGCCTTTAGCTGTAGCATTAGCTTAACCAAAACACCTGCCTCTAAACATCCACCTATGACCATAATAAGGATTAGTGTGGACAGAAGTGTGATGTGTTGCACCTGTAAAACACACCGAGCGGTGATCCACCTGCACATCACTGCAGCAAAATGTTGTGAGTGGTTGTTGAGGGGTGGGTCATGAATTTTGAATAGCCATAATAATGAGTAAATAATTAATCCAACTATTATATTGTCAGGAATAATCTATATTCCCTTATTTTGACCAGAAACTCCTGCAGAGCATGTGACCAGATCCTGGTGTTATATTAACAGGTCGGCCTGGAGTGGGGGGAACAGTCCGACCTGTGAGTGTGGAGCGATAATTACTCCACCCTGCTCACATGCCACGGTGTTAAAACAACTCGTAAGAAAAGTCAGTTAGTTTATTTTCCGAAAGATGAATAGAGCACTTTGAGAAAAGCAGGAGAAAGATGCAAAGAACGCCTTTCAAAAATGTTTTGTGTGGAATCCTTCAAAATAACCCAAAAAGAGGTGGAGAGGGAAGTCTGCCAGGTAGTCAGCATAGTCTACTACAACGGAGCCATTCAGGAGTGAAGCACTCAGCAGAAGTGGTTTTATGCCAGGATGGTGGGTGGTGTCTTTGAACAACAGTCGAAAAGTACCCACCCAGTGAATATCGAACGGTACTTTTGCTCGAATTCTCATCCCTACTGTTGATCAGGGAGTTTCTTGATTACGCTCTTTCTTTAAAAGAACTGCCAAGTATTTCAACAATAAACAAAACAATTGTTCAACCAATGCATCAGTTGCACTTGGCTTAGTTTCAACACTAAATATTGGAAGCTTAAACTGCTGTGTGTTAAATAACTAAACCTACCATGTCATGCTTGTAAAGCCTTGGGAGCCATTTATTCTTTGACCTGAATCATATTCCTGAGCGATCAAGTCAAGCACTTTCTAAGAAGGACACACCGTTATCCATGTTCCAGAGCACAGCTATCTGTAGCAATTCGTCCTCCAAAATCTTCTCTATTGAAATGATACTGATTATATTTCAAGGAAAGCAACAGTTAATCATTAGCTCTCTAAATAATAAAGCGTAAATTACTTAAAGTAGAGGGCGCATCCAAAATATCGACCTTCATTCATACAGACCGAACAATAAACAAACACAACTTAATTTATGACCCACGTGGATCTCAAAATGTAAAAATATGTCATTGAACAAAAAAGAAAGGTTGGCCCACCTTCAAACAAGACATATTCCATTTCGATCCACTCATCTCAGAAATCACACTTATTCCCCGCCCCCAGTTGCCACAAAAACACACAAAAAGCAGATCAGAGTGTTGTATTCCTACACGCTCTCACAACATCTCCGTAATAAACAACCCTGGCAGCTACTGCTACATTCCTGAAGCTGCTGTTGAAACATCTGTGGGCATGTTTCTTTTCCCAACTCGCCTCAGTTTGATGTTTAAGTTGGTCTGTCAGTTTTCCGTGCGGAGAAGCATAATCTTCGGACTCTGAAGTTGACATTTTCTATAGCCTGGAGGAGCACAGAGGGCGAGGAACAGAGTATGGAACATTCACTTACCTGAGACTCAAGGTCAGCCGTTCATCTTTAGCCCTCAGCAGATCGCCCACTGCAAACGTGGCACTACCCAGGAAGCTGCTCTGTAGAACCAGACAGAGGAGAAAGAAGAACGTTAAAATGGAGCACAGTGTCTCAGCAGCAAGTGAAGAGTTAAAATAATACGAAAAGAAGAATAGGGAACTCTTTTCTGCTTCTGAGGAGTTAAAAACAAGTAAATGTCAGACGGCGTGTCAGGATTCACTTTGAGCCCTGTGATCTGAAACAGCAAAAATGTAAGATCATGTTGACACGGGACACAGTCAGGGACACAACATCCACTCTCCTTTCCTGTCTCTCCTTCACCCTCCTTCTACCCTTTCTCACCGCTCTGACAACCTGTGTTTGCTGCAGGCCTGAAGTGAACAGGAGGTGTCAGCGCAGCAGAACTGGGTCATGGAGAGAGGAAGGGGACGAGCCCATCAATAACCAAGACGGATGATCTTCATTCATTGCAAACACACACATGCACACACTCTCTCTCACACACAGTAAAGCCCTGCACCTGCATGTACCATCATTAACATAGCTTATGCTGATGGATTGGGGGGGGGGTTACACTGTGCAGAGGACACAGGCTGCTCCGAATAGAGAGTAAATTACAGAGCAGGTAATTAACAACAGGTACACAAGGGGAAACACATATCTTATTTAAGGTATTCACAACACTGCTGTCTTTTATAGAACTTTCATCAACCAAATTAAGGTGTTTTATTTATTAATAAGCTATCACATTAGTGCCAGTTCTGCTTCTGCAAACACTGATATGACAATTGGTGTGTTGCCCCTGTCTGTTGCGTCACATGGATGTCAAAGCTTTGCCTCTGCAAATCAAAACAGGACTGCTTTAAGAAAGCTTACACACATTTGACACATTTTTACTGTCCACACCAAAAACACGCCAGCATCTGAAAATGGGATGAACTGATTCGATATGGAGGATCAGTATCGGACCAAATAGTCATAACCATGGCAACAATCATTTGCCATTATGGATTACACTGTAGACCATGTCCGCTGCCGCACTTCATTGATCCAAAATGGTGTCAATTAGAATTCAGAAAAATACCAAAATGCTCATTATAACTTCCCAGTACTCATTATGTCTGAAAACACCTTGTTTTTCAGACAGTCCAAACACGTTTACTGTAGCATACTCATAAGCACCATATACGAACCAAAAAGCCACAAATGCTCTCCTTTGAGAAGCTAAATGAGGGAAAGTTTGGTACCCTCCTTCTGTCTATTCTTCTATTGTTTGGCTTCACTCTCACCTCTAATCTCGGTTCCTCCCACTGCGTTGCTCTCTACGGTCTCCTGTATCAGATCAAAAAGGGCATCCTGTCTACTGACCTTTTCTCTCAATTATTTTCTCCCTGAGCATTTTCCTGCTTCCCCTGTATACGAATCCCACATGTAGGCAAACAGGGACTCTCACGCATGCGTGCACACACACATACAAAGAGGAAGAAACCTAAATACAAGGTCAGTCAAGAGTCTTGTGAAAAAACACACAAAAATAACAGAAGGTTTTAAAAGCAGCTCACATTTACCAGGAACAGCCTGAAGCATCACATTCAGTGACATGTCCGTGCAGCACAGTGGTATGTCCTTATTTAATTAAACAGCACTGGGATCCCCAGTAGGCTTGATATGCAAAACGTCATATGCTTCAGCAATGACGTTTTATCAGCCAATCGTAGTTTGCTCTGATAACCCAGAGCACGAGGCACAGAAGGCTATTACACACCATGGAGGAACATTATATCCCTATGTAGCCATTACTCCCAAGCCAGCACAGAGCGTCTGGTAAATGGTCTTAGAAATCCATTCCTTAGCATCCTTTTATGACCCCTCACGACGAGGGCTTTAAAAGTAATGAAGCTCTGGAGACCGTCCTCTTACGCACGATCAAAGTGGCTGTAGCACGGAAAATTAGAGAAAGATGGGGGCAAGAGGAGGAGTGAAGAAAGAAGACACATGATGCTCTTCCTGGATCATGGAGGATTGATTATGATGGTTTCCTTCTCTCATGCTCTGGCACTCTCTTTTTTCTATCCATCTTCTTCATTCCCGCGACTGTTTCTATTGGCCATGCCGCTCGCGTGCCAAGAGAGAAACTTTTGATCTACGGTGTCCTTCACTAGTGTTAAAAAAACGAGGCCGCGAGACACTTTACACAAGCCCAAAGATAAATACACCAACCTAACCTAACCAAACACAAAGTGCTCTTGAGGATACACGCTCAAACACTAAAGATCAAGCAAAAGACCACAAAGCCAGAGAAACAGGAACATGTTGGAGCTGATATATCGTGAGTTAACAGGCAATCCCAAGCTCTTGTCTCAGGACCAGTGAAGGCCTGTCTCTCCGTCACTGGGCAGAGGTAAACGGTCCAACTCAAGCTGTAGATCTATTGATTTTCTCCACACCCTGGGGTTACGGGGTTACAGAGTCACACACACACACACACACACACACACACACACACACACACACACACACACACACACACCACACACACACACACACACACCACACACACACACACACACACACACACACACACACACACACACACACACACACACACACACACACACACACACACACACACACACACACACACACACACACACACACACACACACACACACACACACACACACACACACACACAGCAGAGAATACCTGGAGGACAGGACATTCATTGACATGCTTTCTGTATAAATGGCAGCAGTGACAGATTTGGCACCGGCTGAATAACACACATCTGGCAAACGTTTATGAATATAAACACAGTTATCCCATGGAGGTCAGGAGTGACATGAATAGGCTGCTCCTTCACTACCAATAGAGCTTCACTACAAAGTGGCCTAATTAAGTCAGAAGAGATGTCATGACACGCCATTTGTACTTACATGCAAATGTGTGCACTAGGGCACGCAAATTGACATCCTACACACACACCATGTACATTATAAAACAACACACACACACACACACACACACACACACACACACACACACACACACACACACACACACACACACACACACACACACACACACACACACACACACACACACACACACACACACACACACACACACACACACACACACACACACACACACACACAGGAAGTCCACTTACAGTTATGGTGCAGCAGCAAGAGTACAGCAGTTAAAAAACCAATATAGAAATGAGGAGAGGCTGACAGTAATAGAGAGAGGAAAAGAGATGTAATGTCTTCTTTCTTCCTCTTAATGAGCTCCAAGACGGTTCTTCCTACATATCTTCCTCCAGTCTTTAGTTAGAGTAACTCCATATGCTAAAAGAGCAGCAGGCACACTACACTGGCTGATACACACATTGAAAACACATGAAACCCACACACACATTAAGACACACACTCTGCTGCCTCCGCTATGACTGAGAACGGAGCGTGCTACCGGCGTTACCGCTGCTGCTGCTGCTGCTGTGGCTGCTTGACTGTAGTAAGACCAGAGAGAGAGAGACGGGGGGAGGAGAGAAGGAGGAGGGAGTCACAAGAGGGGAGGGAGTCAACAAATACAAGCAGCCTAGGTGGAGAGGGGGCAGGAGGAGGAGGGTGACTAACACAGAAGAGGAAGGGACAGAGAGGAAGGAAGACAGACAATCAATGGGTAGAGAACCCAAATATAAATGCAGTAAAGGGAAAAGGAATTTACAGTAGAGAAAGAATGATAGCAAGAGATAGATATTTAATGTTAATGTTTAGTTGATATCTATATATAATGTGTACTTGATATTGAGTGTCTAAAAGAAGCCTCTTTGAAGAACAAGGAGACAGAGAGAGAGGAAACTGTCTCAGTTGTGTGTCACACCTCGGCTGCAGCCTGTGACTCATACGTCCAACAGGAAATAAACATTTGTTATAGCTACTTGAATAAATTTCATCTGCAAGGTGCAAGTGTGTAGGAGTGTGTATGGGTAAACACTTGAAAACAAATATTGACATACTTGAGGATCCCACAAGTGGCTTCTTGAAAACGCTCTCTGTACAGCACAGTGCTGCAACTGAGAGCAAGAAGAAAGCCGACCCTTTGAGACATGGAGACAATGACGAACAAACCCACAGAGCAGCACCAGTGACACCAAGCTCAGGTTTGAACTATCTCAGCTCAAACCTCGGATTAAGCAGGGTTTAATTTACCCATGGTGACACAGGGGGATGAGTCATTCGGGCAGAACAAAGGACACGCTCTAACACTGGCCCTTATCACCCAGAGCAGGTACACAAGCAAAACAACAATGAGACACGCACACAAACACTTAAGCACACATGTACCAGCCGCCGTGCACAAATCCAGATAACCGGCATCACACCGAATGTTATTTACAACACACTGATAACTGGAGGTCATGGTGGTGAGTCGTCAATGTGTCTTAATACAGGAGGAAGCGTGTGGGTGGAAACACTGAATTTAACGATTTCTTTATTATGAGAAAATGAGGATTGGTGACCTTGGTGCTAAGAGAAAGAAACATCAGATCTCTACCTAAACTGACTATCTTACAGTATCTGCTGTAGCAAAAAGCTTTTGTACTTTTATAGTTGTATTGCAATTTTTTGGAGCGAATATTAATGTGTTCTTTGGCCTTTTTCTGTGCACTCTAACTTTTTCCCGAACTACCCATGTTCTGTCTTTCAGGAAGGTAATCTTCATTTTATAAATAAACAAAGCTTAAATGACTCAAAGCAGAGGACAAATCCATGACATTGATCTGCATACATAGATACCAAACATTAGATTCAAGCTTGTTCAAAACATGAATCGAGCTGACTGAAAACAGGCTTTTTTAATGTCTTAATTTGAAGTTCAAAATGTCATGTCAGACATATTTAGAGCGCTCAAACTGTGAGTTCCTGAAAAGCACACTGATCAGGCTTTAAGTAAAGTAATGGTCATTTATTTTCTAAAAAATAAAGCTTATATGACTAAAAGCAGAGGGCATATCCAAGATATTGACCTGGAAACATAGAGACGAAACATTCAA